TAAGTTTTTGTCGCTTCTGTTTATTTTTCTTAGACTTTATAGAAACTACCGGCTGTTTTATGTCGGAATCATCACGATTAATGGAAATTTGAGATGGATTTAGATTTGAATAATTTCGAGTGATAAGGTCTAACCGCTTCTCTCTATCCCATATTATTTGTCCGTTTGAGATGATTTTAAAATAACGAATTCGATGAAACTTGAAAAAAAAAAGAAGAAATTATTATAACTAAACTCTCGATATAATGAATTTTTTATATCGTAAATTATTTTGTAATAGGTAAATGAAAAAAACAAATACTGGTATCTCAGCTTCTTCGAATTCTTCTCGAGTTGCTTCCATAATTCCTAGAAACCTCTATAAAAATTTTGGTAAAAAATACATATTAAGTTATTTTCTCAGAGCTATCGTAAATTTCAGAAATTACTTAAAAAGTTAATACATCTTCGTATCCTATAACGAAATCACCAAATTGTTCCTTGTCCCAAATTAAACGATTATAAATTTCATGTGCTGGCTTTAAACGCTGCATTATGATATCGCTCTTGGTAAAAAAAGTGAAATAAAAATATTGTAGCTGCCGAAAATTAGGGCAAAGCTATTTATTAAATTTCTTAGAATCTGCGCAGCAATTCCTGCTGAACAACGCCCAAGATTATAATAAAAATATACATTTATTATTATTATTATTGTTATTGATACATAAAAGAAAAAGAACGTGCACTTAAATTTTTATGCTGCGCATTTTTATTTGCATCATCCAATCAAACAAAAACTTGCCTTTTGAGATTCGTACACTGTCGCACTGTACTGTACATATGATGATAATAGCGCGCGATCCGCAGTTCCGATGGCTACTTTGGAATTCTGCGGAGAAAAAATAATAGCTATAATAATAACACAGAATGCCCTATTGTTTGCTAACAGCGTCCAGGATTGTTTTTAATCAATTCCTGAAAGATATTTTTTGACAGATCACTTACCTGACATACAGAAGCATTCGACTAGTCGCAGGTATTCATTTTAACAAATTGTCACGCTGCATGATGTCGAGTCGAGTAAATAACTTTCGGGGAATCATGCCGTAACCTCCAGGATGGCCCCAAAAATGAGTACCCTAGTGTGACCATCAGTTGGGAGAGCAATTACGGATGTTAATCCAATTTAGCTCCGATGGTTCACTTGACTTGGATTTATAGCACTTGTACACGTGATATGATGTCACAAAATAACTTAAGCGTGTTCGGGGTTATCGCTTAATTAGATCAAACTTTAATTATTCGGGGTAACTAACAATGTAATACGTAATAACAAGGAAATAATACAATACAACAACAATAATAAAATAATAAAATAATAAATAGGGATGTTACGGTCCGTCCTGGTCTGATCTTTGTCCTAAAGGCTGGTCCTACCGAGGGACCGAGGATTGAACCGTGGTTCAGGACTGGTCCATGAATCAGTCCATAAATCGTCTATTGACTGGTTTTCAAAATAAGCCATGTGGTTTTAATGATCGCTGCATATAAAAAAGATCTTACAGCTATCATCATAAATCCTGGGACAATTGAAAAAATTGCCAATGACTTAGTGATGCAGTAGAATCATTCCGATGATTTGTCGTAGCTAGTTACGGCATAAGTTTTTAGTCAATTACTGCTTAAGCCGTAACATCATTTGGACGATTTTACTGCATCACTACAATGACCGAATCGACATCAGTGAGCTGTGGCATTTGAGATTTTTTTTTAGGTTGACTGTGACGAAGGCACAGGAGGAATATTGTCGCGAGGATCACCTGACCTCATGATCGTTGAATTCGTTGGACCCAGTGATGCTAATACAGTGAAGTCATAGATCCTGCATGATGATGAGGTCAATAATTTTGTGAGTCTAATAATAAGTAAGCCACAAAAACGCACAAAGGAATGTTATGCTTTTCTTTCGTTGCTTTTAATAGTTGCCCGAAATTCTATTTCTGACTTATGAAAGGTCCTCTCCCACCTCTTACAAAGAATTGATCTACACATCGATGTTATTCGATGCTGTGGAATTGCGATGAAATCGTATTTAGGAATGAGAATTTAAACGATATGACAAAACAGTAAGGGTCAGATTCCAATGGCTGTATACCCCCTGCACCATTCTTAGGTCGGCAGCTGTGTACGCCCACACTGCCTGGGAATAGCTGTACTTTTATGAGTAAAGAGACTGAGAGATTGAATTTGATAAGGTTCAGAATGTGTTAAAGTGACTGCGGATTATGGGCTACACGTGATGATAGCACCATTCCCATAGTTTTTTTATCGTTGCACGGGTCTTATGTGACAACCCGTGATTTTCATTTACTTATTGGCACGAGATTGTTACGTCAGACACAGTGCAATAAGATAGTTATTGTATGGATATATTGAATAACCCAGTTACACACACGGGTTCATATTTAAATCCCGTACTTTCGGCACGGAATATGAACCCGTATATAACTGGGTTATTCACTACAATAACTATAAAATATTGACAACTAATTTTGTAGATCGCTGCGTGATTGTTTTTGGTTCAATATAAATAAATTATATATTTTCATAAAAATTGTCGGCCATATGCTCACTAAAAAAATTATTATATAATCGCGCAACCGAACAACAACCAGGTGATTATTCAAGTGATTGTATTGGTGTGTTGAGATCTACAAACTTGATCAAAAGATACATCATTTTGCGATAATCGATTAATTGATCGATTAAACAAATATCAATCGATGGGTTTCACTATTGCATTTGGATGAAATTCGAATAAAATAATTTATAACTTTGCTAAAAATTTAACCAATGATATTCTGCTTATCTAATTAGATTAGATAATGTATTAGGGTGATTCAGAATTAATGTTCACGTTTCTGATTTCGAATTAAATTAATGACATATTTGGTTTGAAATAGATGATTTATAAATTCTATATATATGTATATTTTTTTATAATGATATAATATTATGTCATCAGAAAAATTCTGTACTGTTTTCTGATTTTGGAATTTCAAAGATTTTTTAAACTCCCATTTATTTTCTAAAAAAGTTAATTCTGAATCACCCTATTAGTAAAATTTACTTAAAATATTTTTATTTTAATAAATAAAATATCTTGACAATTATGTATCTTGAAAGTATAATAGTGGTGGCAGAAAAATTCGTGATCAGGTGATCGCCGAACCCCTTAGGAAACTATACATTAATTAACAATCCTATAATACAAATTAATTTTCGAATTTAAGAGTTAATAAATCAGTATAGTATTATTGAAGCAAAAAACGTCGAGCTAATGTAATAATAAAAAAAAAAAAGTACTTGAAAAAGTCTACCTTTTAATTTATACAATAAAGCTAAACTTGTCTTCGTTACTCTTCATATCTCGGGTTTTTTTAAAAAAAATAAATCTCAAATTTATGCTATCTAGTGTTAATATCTAAAGAATTTAATGTTACCGTTACGGTTACATAATTATGTATGTCTGGGACGGTCAGCAATCATCTGACCGCGAAGGCGACTAGAGAAGAATGCGCAGTAGTATTTGGGCAATAGTAATGCCGTTAGTATAAAAGAAAGTTTGTGGCTCCGAGACTAAGTAGCGCAACTAAGAATTTGAATTCTGTTTGAAACATTGATGCTTTTTTATGCTAATGAAAGACTAACTTCTTCAACAGCTATAGCTTGGTGAAAGATAGAAAGCGAATGAGATTTAGATTACAACAATACTATTATTAAGATTAGATTCCAGTGAGGAATATTACGTGCTAGTATGCTATGTACCAGCGATATCTATTCATAATGTGTTTCCTACGCAATAAGTTGACAAAGTTCTTTGATCGAGTAATAATATAATAATTGAATTACAACTTTAGATATGGTAAAAGCTTATGCCGTAGTTAGTTACGGCATAAACTCACCTCTAGTTACACTCATTATCAATGATGAAGAAAGAAACTGAAAATAAGGTAATAATAGTAATTTAAAAAGCATGACAACGATAATGAAAGACAAAATTTTTGGGTTTTCTTCAAATAAAAATACTTATTGTGAACAAAATTTATTTGATTTTTACTTTGATTTCCAAATCATGATAATATATATAGAACATTAACCCTATCTATATATATATAAAAAAATATAACAGATATAATAATAACTGTAAATGTGGTAGAAAATTAAAAAAATATGTACAGAAAAATCTTTAATGAGAGTATATAAAAAAAATTCTCTACCCTATATAAAAAAAAAAAACGTTTACTACAAATCAAAGGTCATTACAAGAAAGTATTTAAATAATTCTAAAATGAATGTATGCAGCTATGAACAATGAATGTGAGTATTTTTTTTTTTTTCGTATTTATATAAAAGAGTGTATGTATGTTATATATGAAAGAAAGTGTTGTATAAAGTGAAGTTTCTTTAAACGTAAGGAAGAGGAATATGTACTTAGGAGGATAAGTATTGGTGGGTGGTGAGTATATAGTATATGCTTATATGAATTGTATAAAATGAATGAGTGTCTATAATAATTTACAAAAAGAAAATGCATCGGTGTATATATAAAGAATGAGGAATGAATTATTGGCAAAGGGAATTCTATTTATTCTTCATTTTCTAAAGATTTTACGATCCAGATTCTATGAATCTCATCATAAGCCTTTCGATCATTTAATTGTTTTAAACAGATCTCAACTGTTTCATCCCAGCTTTCTTCGTCAAAACCACTATCGGTTACAACTTTTCTAAGATTCCTAGAACCCCAACCGTATAGTTCTCTATATAATTTTCCGAGTTTGCCACCCCATTCTCCAATTGCTATTTTTCGTATTTCATGATTTAGTTCAGAATTAGAGAGTTTTTCAAGAGTTTTTGTGATAAGAGGGGACACAATGAGTTCCATATTTTTTTCAGTTCGTAGAAAATCACTAACTATTGATAATAAAAAATAATATATGGTTAATAATTATAAAAATTTAGAATACACAAACTATTCAGAATTTTAGTATAATAGTTTATACATACTGGAAGTTAAATTGAATGGACCTTCGTTATACCATCTAAAATCAGTTTCCATGATTTCAACATATCCACCTTTCTTTGTAACTCTCAAAGCTTCTTTTAATGCACGTTCCCAATCATTAACGGTAAAAGCAAAAGTCATAAACCTCATGTAAACAAAATCAAAAGTTTCATCTTCAAATGGTAGGCCACTAAGAACATTTGCTTGACGGAATTTTACATTGGTTGGATGAATTTCGGAAGGGTAGAGTGGAACAATATCTACGCCTACGAATTGAGGACACTTATTTTCTGTAGCCATTTCTAAAATCCAAGCACCGGAACCACAACTATGTAAAAAAAAAATATATATACATATATTATTATTATTATTATTATATTATCATTATTATTATAATTATTATAACTATTATTATTATTATTATTACTACACTATTAATTACACTATTATCATTGATGATATCTACATACCCAATATCAAGGATCTTAGTTTCATAACTGGTTAACAATTCCTTAATAGGAGCCGAAAAATTACCTTCCCAAATATGTTTCATTAAAAAATGTTGCATTTGGCACCGATCAACTTCATCATCATCAACTGGATACACATAGTTCACATCCTCAATTCCACTCTTACAATATTTTCTATCTCCAATGCATTGAAGAGTATCAAAATCATCAGAATTTGATAAATTTTCATGTAATGATGAAGGATATTGTGACATAATTTCAAGATGTGTATTTAAAGAATTTGGAGAATTTAAAGATAGATGGGTTGAGGAACTTGAAGAAAAGTAAGTAAGTGCTGAACTAGAAGAAGATTTTTGACGGTGCGTTTTAAGAATTCTTGGAATTGATGTTACCGATGATATGGAAGAGAGGGAAGGAGAAGAATGAATAGACTTTGAATTTGATTTACCCATTTTTGCATGTGTTTTTTTTATATTTTTTTAATAGTAAAAGTGTATTTATGATATTGAGGTTGTAAGAGTGTATGAATAAAATGCTGATAAAAATGCTAATAACTGTATTATTTCTTTATGAGTCTATGATCTATGTAATTTTATGTAATGTAAAAAAAAATTATTCGTTCAACGAAAGTAATAAAAAATGTATCCAGAGGTTTCTTCCTAAATGAAAAAAAAATAAAAATAAAAATTGTTTTAAAAAAAACAATCTTATTTTGTTTATTCTTGAGTCTAATTTGAGGAAGTTGAAGAGGAAGGATGGTTTTCAGAAAAGCGAATCTAAGCTTTTATAAGAAGTTTTCAATGCAACACAAAACATATACATAATAAGAGCAAGTACGTACATAATATTTTTAACAACGAAACGTTTTTTTTATTTGGATTATTATTAATATATACAGCTGTAAAATATGTTATACAAGTATTAAAATTGTAGAGATAAAGACAAAGAAAAGATTGAACAGACTTACGAGAAAAGTTTTTATGTAACCCGTACTTTTAAATAATGGGTGAGCAGTCTAATAATGAAAAACCTTAATTATGGTAGTAGAAACGTGGTAGAATGTTGTGATTTGTGGTGACTTAATGGAACAAAGCGCAATTCCCCTTAAGTTAAATGTATATTAGTATTCTATTTAAAGATAATAAAGAAAATAAATTTTATTTTTCATATAGATACAAAAATATAGTAATATCCAATAATTTAAATGTCGATCGGGTGTAATACATCCTATATCGTGAATTTTTTTCTCCTGTTATCCAGATTTGGAAGATAACAGTGCATATATCAAAAATCCGAATATGGGGAAGGCTGAAAGTTGGTACGTACGTATGATCATATATTTCTGTATATACTTTAAATATTAATTTCAAATTATCACTCTAAATTTGTTATTAACGCCTTGAGGTAGACTTAGATATGTTTTTTCTTAAGGTTATTTTTGCCTCTTCGGGTTGATCCGTATATCTCACTGGATATAGAAATTTTAGAATTTTTGTGTTACATATTTATAAATTTTTTTTAACGGTAAGAACCCCTGCAATATCACAAAATGCCTGCAAATTTATGTAGTTAAATGGCGTGTGTGTCTGTCTTTAATCTTCTGATTGGCTATTCTGATTTCATTTGTAACACATAGATCTGCACGTAGAAAAGCGTGTGCAGAATATTAGGTATTATTAATCAACGATAACGATAACGATATATAATGTAGCTTTAATTTAAAACAAATGATATCAACTTTTTACTATTAAATCGGCTACAAAAAAAAAATAATAAAGTGATCTTGCCATTTAAAGTAAGATTGTATGTTAAAAAATTGTTGAAACAAAGACTAGAAGTAATTTGATGATTTTGCGTATTTGTTTGCTGCATATCGATACGTAGTGTTTGCTAAAAAATTTTTAAATGTGGGGTAACATATATTAAATGAAACATCTTGAGCTTATATAAGGGTATAATATCGAATAAACAAGGAGCATGTCCTTATATTAAAAAGGATTATTTTTTTTGGTAGCATGAACCAAATATATATAAAATCTTGGAATTTTTTTCATCTAGAAAGAATGGAACCAACCAACATAAACAAAATGAAGTAATATCTGCATTATTATGCAGAATTTTTAGTCAGGCATTTTACCATAAAAATTGATAGATTACATAAAAAAATTCATTTTTAACATATAGTATTTACCGGGGTATACCGGGATATATTACAGTACAATGCATAACTGTGCATTCGGGGAATTCGAAAAAACTTGGATCCGTAAGTACCCCTGTTTTTTTTGCAGGTAAACGCCGATTAATTTATAGCACAAATAACTATGTACATATAAGTATGTGCTGTATACGTAGTATATATGCACTATAAACGTATACACTACTACAGTATCTACAGTATCTACAGAATCTACAGTAAACATTACTCAGTATTTACAGTTAATTTTAAATAATAAAATTTCAAATTCGTTAAAGAATTACAAATTGCAGGCATATATGCATATCTAAAATCTAAATTAAAAAGCATGCAATTATCAGGCATATATGTAGAATCCATGAAACATCAACAATTAATTCACTTATTTGAACAATTATAGTATATAGCTCACAAGATATGTTTAAATATGCACGTATAATCAACTATATATATATGATATAATAAATTATGAAATATATAATAAATTATTGATTGGTGTTGCTAGGTATATCTGATTATCGAGTATATTTCTAATATGCACTCACCTAGTTTTTAAAAAAAATTATGCGTACAATACGTATGCATATATAACTGTTAAAAAAAAGTAACGATTGCTATACAGTATAGAAATTCTAAAGTAAATCAAACCGCACTTTTTTGATTTAAAATTTAAAGTTTCTAGAATTGACTAGTTCTTTTTTTTCATTGGTGAATTTTAATTGGCAACGAATTTTTCATTGATGTATTTACCGTTTTTTTTCGAACCTGTCAAATGCCAAAGATTATTCCATTGGTTGAAAGAATAATGATCATTTTCAACAAAGCAATAATAACACATAAACTTTCATTTTTATGCTATAACCTATTTAGTCAATATTTTGAATTAATGTAAGCTTTACCAATCATCAATTTTTAATAAAATTTAAGTAATGCATACCCGTTTCATTAATAAAAAAAAAAAACAATGTCTAACTTAGATCACACTTCTCTTTGGCTTCAGTATAATATGTGATAGATAATTGGTTTTAAGACTTTACAAAAATCAAAAATGATTAAGGATTGGAAGTAATCCTTAATTAACAAAAGTTCTTTTATTAATTAAACAAAAGTTCTTTTATTAATTAAACAAAAGTTCTTTTATTAATTAAACAAAAGTTCTTTTATTAATTAATAAAGTTCTTTTATTAATTAATAAAGTTCTTTAATTAATTAATAAAGTTCATAATTAATTAATAAAGTTCATAATTAATTAATACGTAGTTGTTCCTCTCTAAAGACATAATGTGGTTTTTTTAAAAACATATTTTTCTTAAAAACATTTGTTTTGGCTATTGCACAAATTCATCGAACAGTGATTTTTGTTTAATCCTTTTCCAAACAATTACTTTATTGTAAAACTACCTCGCATAATGTTTCAATAATTAAAGTTTAAAACAGGCAATGATAGTGGTGTTTTCCCACCATACATGTACGTACGTGCATATTTGTGTACACCATGTTACATGTACTGTACATACGCGCGGGTGTTCAAGGCGGTTTGGAACTCTAATCAAATAACTGCCTACTGCAATAAATTTCAAAAGCTTAAAATTGGAAGTAAACCATCTCTTTTAATGCCTTCGATAATGTCTTCGATAATGTCTTAGAGGGTTTATCTGAATTTGTTCAATATTTAACTATCATATATGACTTTATTAGTGAGTCAAGGACCTTCAAAATCGTATAACATATCCTTATTATCGTAAGCTGCTGTGTGCAAGACCCGAACCATGTTACATTCCACCAATTTTTAAATCATACAGTAGATCCCGGGTCTAGTACTCGCCATGAGCTATATCGTAAAAAGAAAAGGTGTATACATACTTTGTATTTACAATAGGCAGTCTAACTATTTAAAAAAAGTCGCATTTGATTAATATAGATTTTGTAGTTCGAGTCCGGGTTTACATGGTGGATCTACTATTTGGGGAACTGTATTCGGTACTTTACGATATTTATAGTAATGACATTTAATACTTGTAAAATTCATGTTCCGTTTAAACTAAATCAATATTAGTCAAATAAATGTTAAATACTTAATTAACGTTATGAGTATAATGTACATAGTTCTGTAGTTTTAATTAATTATAACTCTAATCAACAAATGATTTCTAATTCTAATCCACTGAACCAGAAATTAATAATATATTTGAAAGATCGAATTATACAGCAGATACAAAAGGCAGACTAGATAACTGACCACCCTAAAAAAATTTTGCTGGCAAATCAACTCAAGATCATGTGACTCTAGAATTAATGTATAAAATTATCTTCTGCGCATTAGTAAAGTTTTCCTTAACAGTTAATGTAGTTTTGGTACCTTCTAATATAACCAATAATGAAAAACCTAATCCTAATGTAACTACGTAAGTCTAATATAACCAATAATGAAAAACCTAATCCTAATGTAACTACGTAAGTTGATCTTATGTTGATCATTTATTAATTATATTTCATTAAGATCGTTGCATTACAGTCTTACAAAGAATTTACGTAAGTACTAGAATGCATGTACGTACTGTACGTACGTGTGTAAGTAAGTAACTGCCTGCTACGTACGTATGTATGTAAGTACGTGTCAGGGTTTAAAGTTTCGTGAAGAAATTGAGCCACAAATAGGAATTGTTTTTTGTTATAAGATGACGATCATTTGATTGGCATTGTTACGGGCAAAAAATGAGACTCGGTTACTAAATCGTGTGACTTCGTGTAACTAGAGTTTGGATCCGGTTATCCGTTGGATACAAATTTAATAGTAAAATCCGTTAAATTTAATATGAAAACGGATAACCTGATCCAAACTCTACGTGTAACAAATGAAAAAAATAGAACACGCGAGACAAACTCTAAGTTATGCAATAAGACTTGGTCAGATTTAACAAACCAAACTATAAACCGAAATTTAAGTTAGGAAAAAATGGAATTCTTATTAATAACTAGGAATTAAAATGTGAGAATCTAATTTTGATAAAAATAAATGATGTATTTGTATTAAAAAGGTTGTATTAACTTTATTTCGGTTTCTGACATAATGATCTTTGTTATTGAAAAATTACTAATTGCATGAAATGGGGATCCCCAAACGCTTCCTTTTCATTTCCGATTTCAAAATTTTGAAACGCCTCACTACATTTCAAAATTTTATATAGTAATTGAGATAAGGTGTTGCAAAGAGATGCTTTCAGTCGTTGTTCTTCTTAGAGCTTGTATTCGTATTCG